TATTTAATGATTATCCTAAATATATTTTAGATTTTTTATAATTAAAATGAGATATTTATCCAATATTTGATTATGTTTATCTACAGTCAGTTACATGAATTTAAACATTGAGCTTTAATAATTGTACCTACGCACAATTTACTTGCAATATTAAATTTTAAGTAATACTCGCACAATACAGTGAGATAAATTTCAATTTTAATGTCTCGTTTTCTTTATCTCAGTCGATGTTATAATACGGTTTTATATGGTTTTGAGAAAAACAATAATGTTTTTATTTTTGAATAAAATATAAACGTAAAAATATCATAAAAATTTGAAAAAAAAGATATCAATATTAGTATCAGACTAACTATTTAAAATTTCTCATTTTTTGTGTATTTTTTAATTATTTTTTTTATTTTGATTTAATACTATAATTTTTATAAAGATAATAATCAAATATTTTATTAGAAGTCAACGATTATCTTAATTATATTTTAAACTTTTTATATTTAAAATGAGATATTTATTCTTTATTTGATTATATTTATCTACAGTTATACGAATTCAAACATAAAACTTTAATAAATTGTATTTAGGCATAACTTACTTGTAATATTTAATTTTAAGTAATATACATTAATAAATAATATTTCATACATAAAAAATGATTTTTTTTAAAATGCTTTATAATATAGCATGTATCTATGTATTGTTTGCCAAAATGGTCGATTTAGGTAGAAACTCTCGGCCCATCCAAGAATTTTAGGTTTGAAGCTTTTCAAATCGGTATAGCCGAATTTCTTTATTTTGACCCGTTTACATAACAGCAAAGTTTCACAAAATTACCAATTTGGTCCCTCAAGTGTTCTTTTCGGCATTGGGGTCGTAAAATCAGGGTCAAATAAGCTACCACCTTATTATAAACAAGGATGTCAGTCATGAAACTACAATAATACCACAAGTTTGTTTTGACAAAGTTAGTCTGGACGACTTTTCTCCCGACCTATGGGCACGAATCTCATTTCAATCATCTTCTTAGTTTTAAACCGTCAATTTCATGTCCTCGTTTCCACAATTCGTCGCCGAAGTTTGAATCTTACTTCTATCCGACAAAGCATACAACATAAAAAAGAAGAGGCAATCCAACTATAAATTTATTCATATCAAAACATGTCATGGAATCGAACATCTACGATAATGGAAATTTAAAACCAAAACTATTTTAAAAAGTATAAAATTCTTACCAAAATAACTAATAAAATCATTAACGATAACGGGGAAGAGAAAGAGTGTTGTTCCTTTTCCATGTAGCCCTTCGAGATGGTCGTGCCTTGTGGTTCAAGTGTCCCTTTCCACGCAGACCTCTATATTTCTTGCCCGCAGAGGTTAGTCCACGAAGCTCTCGGTGTTTGTGAACCGGGTTACAAATCCAGTTGATCCGTGGGTCATTACGGATAGCCGTATGAGCAGGATCAACCAAGATCACCTCATAGTACTTGTAAGTTGAGTCCTGAAATTATTAAGACTACCAATTAAGACCCCCAAAATTATCACAACCAAATAGATACTTTGTGTTTTCAAATAAATGCATACCTCATTAAGCCAGTAGGAATTGAGGACCTTAAGACCAGCCAATTTCCTCCCGGCTCGTTCCTCAGCAACAGACCTCTTGCTGCGTTGAAATTTCAGCTGAGTCACACCTTGGTTCGTAGGCTTTCCGTATACGATACCCTTGGGAACTGGCCTCTTTCGTCCACCACGCCTCACACGCACACGATATATCACATAACCCTGCAATTTTAACTAAATTAGCATCAATCAAGAGATTAAGATTGCTACTTCTTCACATAAATTTCTACCACTTAACGTAACTTTCTACCAGTGTTGTCCTAATGAGACTCACACCTTATTCAGTCAACTATACATGATTGTTTCATAATAGCTTAATGATATATAGAGTGGCTTACTCAATAAGCTTCTTAAAAGGAGCTTTATGCAAAAAGTCAAAGTTTTAGAAATATGATAATTAAGGAATGTAATAATTAAGCAAATGAGATATTTAAGTAAATGATATCGATATATAAAAAAACAGAAATACCCCAACTAATAAAGTTAATATTAATTATTTGGTTAACAAGTATTATCACATGTGATAAGGTTGTTATTAGTGTGATACTATAATCCATCAAGCCTATCACATGTGATGCTAAATCATGGACACAACAACCTTTGATGCGGTCTAAAGTTGTAGAACATGTCGTTCGCACATCACAGAGTCCCTTCACGTGTATTATCACGAAGGCGTATAGATGTATGGGTAAAGTAAATTGGTACCTGCTTAGCTTTGTAACCCATACGACGAGCTTTATCGGGTCGGGTAGGATGAGTAACCCGAACAATGGAAGGAAATTGACGGTACTCCCAGACCCTCGTCCTCTTCATAAACCTCATCACATCCGACTGCTTCTTCCTCCATAGCTCCGACACATACGCATAAGCCCCTGTTACCATCACCAAAATCGCAAACCATTACAATTCATTAAAAACGCACTTCGTCAGAATTCAACTGATCGATAACAAAACAGACCAATCAACAATCAAAAACTAAAAACAAAAGGTAAGAATTTGCAACCAATGTATAATGACAGCAGCGGAATTGAAAAAGGAACTTGTGAAAATTGAGATAAACCGAAGGAATTCTTACCCATTGTTGCACTCTTTTCTTGATACGAGGATGGGTTTGAAATTGAATTAGGGTTTTGGAAGCGATCAGACGAGAATTAGGGATTTAGATAGGAGAATTTATAGGGGTTGAAGTTGAATGCATGCTAAACCTATTTCATATTGGACTAATGGCCCATCAAATATTGTGCATGTAATATAAAAGGACCAGCTTGTATTTTAATGCCGACATTTAATGTTAAAAAATCATTGCTATCTATAATTCACCTTCCAGTGTAATCACCCAATATAATGAGATATATATTAATTTTAATGTTTTGTTTTTTTATTTTAGGTTTATTGATGTTACAACATATTTTATGTGGTTTTAAAAAAAAATGTTTTTATTTTTGAATGAAATTTAAATTTAAAGATATTATTAATTTTGAAAAAAATAAGCGATATTAGTATCAAATTAAATATTTAAAAATTCTCGTTTTTTGTATAATTTCTTTAATTTAATATTTTACTATAATTTAATTGAAGTTTAAAAACGAACTAATTCATTTTTTATTTAATAAAATAATTTTTTTAAGATAATAATTAAGTATCCTTTTAGAACTCAATGATTATCTTAATTATATTTTAGATTTTTTTTATATTTAAAATGATGTTTATCTATGTTTATCTGCAGTCAGTTACACGAATTTAAACATAGAGTTTTAATAAGATGTATCCATGCACATTCTACTTGTAATATTGAATTTTAAGTAATATGCATCAATAAACAGTACTTTATACATAAAAATTATTTTTAAGAATTTTTTGTCAGTATAAATACAAACTAGAAAAATTGAGATCGTCAAATGTTGATATTATGCATCTATTTTTGGATGTTAATCCCATTTTTATTGAAGATAATTTGTTATATGCATATAGCAATTTTTTTCATAAATAACTTCACGTATTTGTGTATATTTTATCTTTTAAAACCTTATCTTCGAATGAAATATATTGGATTCATTTGATTTGATATCTTTTCTATTAACGATAATTTAGTTTTATAATATATTATCAAACTTGAAATTTGAAGAATTAATGTTGTACAGTTCGTTTTCTATTAAAACTTATGTGGATAAAGTTGTCTGTATGTTAACGTACAAGTTGTTGTTTAGTTGTTGTCATAAATGAACAGTCTGAATGATATAAATGACTGTTTTACCCCTCAGTCTATAGATTTGATAAATAACTATAGATTTTTAAATTATAGTATCCATCCAATCGAACTGATTCCTGCCTTCAACTGGGTACAAATCTTCAAGTTCAATGATCCAATCTAACCAATTTTCCAAGCATATAACATTCAAACTTCTCATGATCAAAACTTGTTATCAAATTACAACCATATGAGAAGATACAAATTGGAAGGACACTAAGGGGCCATTTACCTAAACACTTACCAGGTAAGCGCTTACCGGGTAAAATTCAACAATATCGTTTACTTACCTGGTAAGATTTGAGTCCGACGAAACGACATTGTATGTAATAACTTACCCGGTAGGCGCTAACCATGGTAAGAGTCGTCGTCATCACTTACCGGGTAAGACTCTCGGTCCTTGTTTTCGCTTTTACAGGGTAAGATTCTTGGTGCTTGTCGTATTTATCCGGTAAAGTAACGTGACTTGATAAACGCTTACCCATGTAAGCATTTTTTAAACGGCCCCTAAAACGTGAAAAAGAAGCGGGAACTAGAGGAGGGATTGGAAGGGGACGGTTCTTTATTGCTAAGGGTAGTTGGGGAAATTTAGGGAAAATAAATGGTTGATCGTAAATGAGTGATGTTTTTTAGCTGACCAATTAAGTCATCAACTAAGCGAATAAGCCAGAACTGAACAACTAGTTATGGCTGCGCGAATAAGTCATATAGGCTATACAACCCTTTAAGTCACAACCCCTAAACAATATCTCCTCCTTATGTTATAGATATCAATATGAGTATTAAATTAAAAAGAATCATATGTTTGATCAAAATATAATTAATTTCTAAATATTTTATATTTAAAAATAAACGAATATGTTTTAATTAAAAAAGTTAAAATTAAGTATCTATTTTTTGTTTAAATACGTTTATCAGTTACATAAATTCAAACTTATACGGTTAAAAAGTTAGTTTTTAAGGCTTTATCCCAAAAAAAATATAAGTTGGTTATTTAAATCGATTTAATGCTATGTTCTTAAATCTTTTTTTATGAAAGAAAAAAAGCTAAAAGAAATTTAAGAACATTAATCTATACTATATTATAAAACATTTGATAAAAATTCTTAAATACTATTTTTTTATGCACAAAATAATGTTTATTGATGCATATTACTTAAAATTCAAGATTACAAATAAATTGTGCGTAAATATAACTTATTAAAGTTTCATGTTTGAATTTGTGTAATAACTTCAAATAAGAATAATGAAACAGAGAATAAACATCTCATTTTAAATATTAAAAACTAAAATATAATTAGGATAATCATTGAGTTATAACAAAATACTTAATTATTATCTTTATAAAAGATTATATTATTAAACCAAAAATAAATAAATGAATTACAGGTTTACACAAAAAAAACGAGAATTTTTTTATAGTTAGTCTGGTACTATTATCAATATTTTTTTATTTTTTTATGATATATTCATATTTATATTTTATTCAAAAATAAAAACATTATCGCTTTCTCAAAATCATATAAAACCGTATTATAACATCGACTAAGATAAAAAAAATACAACACTAAAATTAAAATATATCTCATTACATTATGCAAGTACTCTTTTAGTAAAATTTAACCATTACCTAAAAGAAGCTTGTTTTATATTTGAGTAAAATGTGATTGGCTTGTTTTACATGATGAGGTCATTATACACATATTCTGTCTATTTAAAACTACATTATATTAGTTTGTTATAAATTTTGGATTTTGTACTTTAGTTTTTTAAAATTACAGTTTTAATCCTTATGGTTTGTAACTTGTTATTTTTTTATTTTTAAGGCTAACTCCTCCCTCTAAGTATGAAATACTATAACAGTTAAAAAAATTGTAAACCATAGAGACCAAAACATCAATATATTTTAAATTATAGAAAACAAAAACAATAATAAATTGTAAACTATAGAGATGAAAACCACAATTTAAAACCATAGCGACCAAAAAAGTAATTTTCAACAAATCGTAAAGGACGAAAAGCATAATTAACTCTTTATGTTATAACCTGACATCATTATATTAATACGTTGTAATCATATCATCAAAATTATCTTTAAAACTGCAAGATGAAAATGGAAGTTCTGAGAGCTCCAAGTTGGATGCGATTTGCCTTGGTAGGAGGGACTCTATAATGGCGCATACGGGTGGCACGTAGGGTAAAAAATATAGTTTTATGAAAGATGCAACATTATTAATTTGTTTTATGCCATCGTATTTATTTTGAGACTACAATGAGAACAAGTTTTATTTGGTAGAGTTGGTCTGCAAGACTCTTATTCTATTTAGACCAAAGTTCGAATCCTATTAGTGTCATTTTCTTAATCGAACGGTGCCGTCGTTTGAAATTTTTTCCTTATAGTTTTTTCTTATAGTCAAATGGTGCCACCATTTGAAAAAATTTATGGGTTCGTCCCTATTTAATAGTATAGATAATTAGAGGGATGAGGATAGAAGTTTCTCCAATATATCTGTACTATATTATAAAGCATTTGGCTAAAACTCTTAAAACTCTTAAACTCTTAAAAACTCTTAAACCCGTTCATCCCTATCCGATTTCATCCCATATCTGAATTCGTGTAACTAACTGCAGATAAACACAATTAAATACAGGATAAACATCTCATTTTAAATATAAAAAATTT